AACATTCACATGGAATATGGTATATGCCCAGAACATTTCATCCTTGGTCGTCATACAGCAGTTTCGACATGTTGATACTCTTCTCGGCTGGCCATAGTCTGCTGCTCTTACTGAGGTTAATAGCATGCGTGGTATTACAGCCATACCATCGATGTAAATGGCGTAGTAAAATGTTCTTAAGAGAAAAATCAAAATGGCAATTTAACAAAAATGCCTGACAAACGGCAGCATAGTGTGGACAGCTAGGGGCATGCCTTTGACGCATTCAACAAAGGCATGCCCTAAACGAAAGCGCACGAGTCACACAAATTATAATGTATCTATTGAGATCCTGATGTTCAGTGAACAAATAATTTGTTCAATTTGTAGTATTTTACATTTATATTTCTATTTATTTATTTCCTATGTCAATTCCATACTCATTTTCATGATAATAATTAAACATTAATTCCACAGAAAATAAACGTCTGACTACAAACAACTCATCATGAAAATAGAAAATCTACAAACAAGCCACAAATCAATATAATACATTGCATAAAAATATCTAATAATTTTAAAATATTATAAAATTGATATAAACCTGAAGATGAGGTCTTATCCATCGAAACATGCCGTTTAATAAATAAAAAAGCGCTAAATATGTAATATCGTATTTACGATAAAAAGCACCAAAATATAATATTTTATACTACATAATGTTTTAATATTATATAATTTTAACAACATCATTTAATTACAACGTTTGTGTATAGACTGTGAAAATAAATATATAAATAATTTGTTGTTATTGTAAATTGTCAAGTAACCTATATAAACGTTCAATATCCATACTTATGTGTTGTTTTATACAGGACTGCTTGTGATATGTACATAGGTTTTATTAGCCATATATTTGGCTTCAATGTTATTTATTTATTAAGTGGTTTAAATTATTACAACAGTATTTTTTTTATTTATGGCATTCAGTTTTCACCCACCTGTTCACAGTGGTCACTTTTATGACTGTATTAATACAATCTTATTCGTGGAAAATTGTATTAGTAATATTCGTAATTTATATGGTGACCTTCAGAGACTGTAAAATCATTACATCTCTGTTAGGAAAGGCAGATACCACTTTCCTGGAGGACAGTGATCAAAGAAGTTTGTTATTCATTTTAGTAATTCAAATTAATTGTATATGCATTTGTTGTGCTGTCACTACACATGTTGCGAATGAATATAAAATGTTAATTTAACTAACAATAAAACTTAATCTGTCTGTATAATGACAGCCATCATCTGAAGACAAGCATAAAGCCAACTCCTGAAATGTGTATACCACATACATATCGACAATGGACAATGTCTGACATAATATTGGTATAATGATTTAACGATCCATTAAGTAATGTGAAATTACAAAAGTAGCTAAGGACAGCATTATAGTAGACAGAGCAAAAGTCTATCATAATACATGAGTTACTTGGAACAGTGAAGATAGAAGAGGGCAAAAATACGTTCAAGGAAACAATAAGAAGTAAAGAGTCGGAAGTTGCTGATGCTTTCAGTATATTAAAAGGGGTAGGAAGATCCAGTCTTATATTCAAAAGATTCGTGTACCATTATATGCCCGACAGCCATCATCTGAAGACAAGTGTAAAGCCAACCCCTGAAATGTGTATACCACATACATATCGACAATGGACAATGACAATATTGGTATAATCAAAATGGCAATTTAACTATACAGTTAAGAAATATCTGAACATTCGAGCACATGATGATTTTGTACATGTATTTTTAATTATGTGTAACTGTTAATAGGAATGGCTTTAAAATGGTCCTCTTGAGCTTCATTTCAATATGTACTTTCACTCTCAATGTCCCTGTTGAAAACAAAAACTACAAATTGAAGAACTGAGATTTTCAATTGTTTGGTGGCAATCTCAAAGGATGCAAGGAACATTTATCCAGCGGAATTATTTGAAATGTAAGATAACTATCCCTGAACAATTAGTAAAGTAAAACGCAGAAGAAAATATAAGGGCAATGCCACCACACATTTTTGAGCAGATTCAAGAACCTGTTTTATTTCAAACATAAATTAGTCAAATTAAACTCAAATATCAAACAAATAATTGAAGAGAGAAGAAAAACACATTTCTAGCAATCAAAAAAGAAGAGGATAAAACAGAATACTGTCGAAAACGAGCAATAGCCAAAAGAGAAGTCCGAAAGATCCACAGAAAGGATTGGGAAAGTTTTGTGTCATATTTAGAATATGACATAACAAGACACAACCCAAAACCTTCAAAATTCTAAAACAACTGGGTAAAGAAACAAAAGAAGCAGTTCGAATTAACTGCATCTCACATCAAACATGGTTAAATTATTTTCAGGAACTATGGACACAAGACACAGATGATCTTCAAATACAATATTCTAATAATAATGAAACAGAGGATATCACAATGGATGAACTATTGTCAGTAATTCAAAATCTGAAAAGCAATAAAGCACCAGGAGAGGATTCTATAAACCAGGAGTTGTTTAAATTCGTTACGCCATTGTTCCTTCAACGATTTCTTAAATTTCTCAACAAAATTTGGAACTGGGAAGAAGCACCTGAAGATGGTCGAAATCCATTGTAATCCCAATTTACAAGAAAGGAAACCATAAAGACCGTGAAAACTACAAATGCATAAGTCTATTAACCCCTCGCTGAGGAAAGTCGTCTTAAGACGTGCTGGCATTTAAATTTAGGTCTTCGGAACCACGTTCAATGACGTGCGGCTGTAAGCCTAATTTCAAATGCCCATAAGTATGGAAATAATAACGACTGATATATGATGTTTGTAGTTGATTTGTCGTGGAAAAAATGCTCTTTCTGTTCATGTTGTGGCAACGTCGCATTTTTGGATCTGTGATGGCAAAGTCCGTGTATGAATGCGTGACCTAAGAGTTTACGGAATCTTCACTGTGGTGATTGTTTGTGAAGGGAAGAAACGTGCCTGTTATCCCAAAAAGGTTTATTTTACAATCTTACCTAATGCTGTGAAGGACAGAGGGGAAAAAAAGTATCTGAAACGGTCAGGGACCCCATAATTTTTCTATAATATATGCCGTTTTCATGTTTCGGTGTGGCAGAATAACAACATTTTAGCACCCCTATATTTACAAGGGTATGGAAAGAAGCCTTCCTAGAAAGAGACAGGTTATAACTGTTATGTATGATGCATATATTTGGCCTTCAGTTCGGGGTCAGATGGTGGGGTGAGGCTCCCACATTTCCTTCCGCTTATTCCTGACACAGGCCTCATTGCGTGTTATGCAGGAAACGCCAGAAAAGAATAGAATCTCTTTATTTGTGTAGTGTAGTGTGGTGACGTTTCAAGAACTACATACAAAACTCAACATCTTCCATTGCTAACATACACAGTGTTCATCATATAAGATAAGATTACAAAACCAACTTTGAAATTCTAATCCACCTGCTTCCATTCCTCACACAGAGTGCTCATCTTATAAGGTAAGATTATAAAACCATCTTTTAAAAGGATTTCAGTGAAATTTCATTATTATGTCTCATATAGTTTAAAAGTTATGATAAAAAAAGTGTTTTAGAGCAAAATTTAAATGGACATCGAAAAAACCCCCACTGTACGAGCTCGACTGCGGCATTTAAACACCCCAGCTGACGGGTTAAAGAGACTTATATGACTTTAATAAAAAAAATTCTAGTCATCTCTTCTTAATTTTATTCAGAGTACCATAAACTATACATTCCTTGTTTATTATTTTCATAATATAAGTTGACTTGGTAGTCTTAACAGCCAGTACTTAAACTCGCTGTTCTGATTCATTCTGTTCATTCGGATCTTGAAGAATGCTGAAGACTTAGGTTGTATCTTTTACCCTGTTATCTTCTCTAATTGAATTTTCTCTTCAACTGATGTCATGTTTGTTGTAATATCAAGAACAGTTTTTTAGTTGATTCAGAAGTCAGGAGTAACATGATTTAGTATGGTTTATAATTAAAACTCTTAGTGTTCCTAAAAAATAAAATTATTTTTCTTGATATTTTTAATATTAATATGTATGCCTACTTTCTGTGCCATGTAAATACCCAGTCTGAATCATGGAATCATTTACAAAATTCTTTTCAATTAAGTCATTTAGCTTTGTGTATTAACTTAACCAAATTATGCAATGACATCCATACCAATGTCTACTCCTTACTGGCTTCAACAATAATTGCACCTGCATGGGATATAACCATAAAATATACCTGGATCTGTGATGTGGATGAGTCGGTGGATTTTTGCCAAAGCCCACTACAAAGCTGCGGCCTGAATCTCCCAATATGTAATCGATCTGCGTTTTGAAAAATTGCCTATAAAAAGCACCACCACTTGCTCCCAAGTCTTCTAACTGAAACAAAATATTGCTATTAGTTTTATCTACAAATTTTGCTGTGAGGCACCATATTTCACATTTATGAAACACCAGTGTCATGTACGCCTACAGCTTTGTGCAGTGCAAGGATCATGAACAGCCTATGATTAGAATTCTTTAAACCAAAAATTTATATGATGCTGAATGTACAACATACTTAGGTTATCAATAATTGGTATGCAAACTTATGTAAATTGCTGAAATCAATTCAATAAAGATTACATACTAAAACGTAGGATTCCTGTGTATCTTTGCATGTTAGCCTTATGCATTTTAATAGTTGTTTAATCAAGTATTGTGAGGGTGATCAAGTCTGTTGGGACATGCAGCATGTGTGCGAGAGATGAGAATGCAAAAAATATTTTAATAATAAAATATAAAGGGAAGGAACCACTTAGAAAATGTACGTTAACATGGGGAGATAATATTAATAGGATTATAAAGAAAACAGATTGTAAGTTATTATCTGACTAAGAAATATATATGCACCTTTGTCCTTACAAACACTGTTATGAAGATTCGACTATAGAAGGCAGTAAATATACTGATTGGCAAAGTTTCAAGAACCACCATACAAAACTCAACTTCTTCCACTATGTGACGATGTTGCAATCCTGTTGCATTCTCTGCAGCAAAGTGCTGGAACGAAAACGAGGAACAAAGTGGTACATGACATTGTTCAAAAGATTACTGAATGTATCAATACATAACGCAATGGTCATGTATCGGTCTGTTCCAAGTAACAGGAAAATAGACACCCTGAAATTCAGGATTCTTCTCGTCCAAGGTCTCGTAGAGAAACACGGTCCTGCTGTTCCACGTCCTGTAACCGGCCGTCCATCACTTGAGCCCCCCACCTAAGAGACTCTCAGAACGACATTTCCCGGAATGTATTCCACCCACTGGAAAGAAGGCTAGACCTCAAAGGAGATGTGTGGTGTGTACGAAACACGGGATGAGGAAAGACTAAAAATATTGGTGTAGTGAATGTGGGGCAGGGTTGTGTATAGATGGATGTTTCAAGAACTATCACATGAAATTGAAATTCTAAACCACCTGCTTCTATTCCTCACACACAGAGTGCTCATCTTATAAGGTAAGATTATAAAACCATCTTTTAAAAGGATTTCAGTGAAATTTCATTATTATGTCTCATATAGTTTAAAAGTTATGATAAAAAAGTGTTTTATTTCCGAAAGGGACGATCCTGTTGTGATGGTTATTTCACATTAAAAATTCTAATAGAGAAACAGTGGGAATTTAATATGGAAACCCACATTGCCTTCCTTGATTTCAAAAAGGCATTAGATAAAGTTAATAGATCTCAATTATTATAGATTCTAGCACAAGATAATATCCCACAGCAAATCATTTCTAATAAACAAATCCACCAAAATATCAATCGAAATTGAAGATACTTTAACAAACTGGAGACCAATCAATACTGGCATTCGACAAGGTTGTGGCTTATCACCTCTGCTTATTATAATATATAAGAATGCACTCATCAAGGAATGGAAACAAACACCTCATGGCAGTATACCAATAAATAGAAATCTGCAAATCGATGTTTTACTTTTTGTGGATGATCTGGCATTATTGGCGCCTTCAGAAGATGACTTACAACGCTCAGTTCATAATCTAGATGAAATTAGTAGACGATATAATATGGAAATTTCATCTGAAAAAACAAAAATCATGGCATTCTGCGGTAAAGAACCCATCCGAAGCAAAATATGTCTAGACAACAAAATTCTGGAAAGGGTGAATGAATTTAATTATTTGGGATATAATTTAGCCTTTAAAGACGAAAGGGACATTTCACAAAAAATTAATAAATACACAAAAACAATGGGTATTATCAATAATGTCTCAAGCCCTCACATGTTCAGAAACATACCCGTTTACGCTTCTACAACATTCTCGCGAGACCTGTCCTCTCATATGAAAGTGAAGCTTGGACTTTAAAAATTCAGGATATTAGCAGAATAACAGCTTGCGAAATGAGATTCATGACAAGAACTGTGGGTTACTCCAAACTTGACCGCATGAGAAATGAGGACCTTATGACTGAACTTCAGATAGAACCTGTAATGAACTGCATTTGGCAATATCAACAAAATTTGAACAAATCATGTAGATAGAATGACCAACAGTAGATTCCCAAAGGCAATCTTGAAATACCGCCCTGCTGGAAAAAGATTCCTCGGCCGACCTCAGAAGAGATGGATGGAAAATACAAGACCGTAACAGGCCTCGTGGCCGAACACGGGAAAGGATGATGATGATGACAATTATAAACATGGCAATGGTGCGCACCTGTAAAATTATTTGTGAGAAATTGTTTGTGTTCAGAATGCGCACTAAGAAATTTGTTCTTCTCAAAGGGAGGGGGGGAAAAGCCCATATATATTCGTTATAGCTAAGGGACACAGAAACCGACCAGTCGTTAGCATACATGTAATGCTGTTCCGTGGTATTAGAAATTTTTATTCGCATTGTCATTTGCAACACAAAACTGTATGTCTGTTATTCAGAATTCACATGTTTTCCGTTATACTGATGTTACTGAAACCTCAACCCTTCTACACACAACCATTTTCAGATATGTCAACACAGCGTACTTTATTACTTAAGCATCGTATGTCTGTAACTTTTTGGTGTTTATTGTTGGCAAAACTGTAACCTTAGCTTCTGTTTGGTGTTTAATGTTGGTGAACTGTATTCTTGGCCTTCTTCCACTTTGTGCTTTCATCGAGGAAAGGTGGCTGGAAGTTCTGTACGAGTTTGAAGTTTTTTTAATAAAGTAATAGTCCACTGTATTGGGATATATTCCCATTCAAGGAACATTTTGGTCCTCTGGGCCGGACATAACACGTAAGTTTTGGTTTTAACAAGCATATTTCTACAGCTTACAAGTAACAGACATTGGAAGTTGCATTCCAAGCATGATCAAATCCGTTACAGCAGCAACATCACGGGTCCAGGTAATACGTACAAGATGTGGCATTTTGGATATAACAGACATCGAGCGTATCTCACGCAAGAAGCACCAGCATCTAAGGAGGTAAATCATGTCTCAAGATTCTACATTAGCAACATTATTAACCCTTCAGCGTGGAGTGCCGAACATCGCTAGTCATGACGTAATCATCCCATGGTGTGGAGTGCCGAGCACTGCTCGCATAATGCACGCTAAGACTTCTCCTTCTTCGTAGCGACTGACCTTGTATTTTATGTATTCTGGATCCAGTAGCCGTGTAGAGAAAAAAGCTGGCTATCGTTTTATATATAACATGACTCTTGACAGATCGATTTTACCAGTGTTTTTCGACTTTGAAATATAGATCGATTTTTGAACTCAACTGCATTCAGCCTCTGCTTTGTGGCTCTCTCTAGGGAAGATGAATGGAGTAATATAGTTAAGGTTACGACAGCTGTGTAGGACACATTGCAAGCTTTCCAACGGTATATGATGTCAACAACCTTAGTCAATGAATTCTCTGTTCTTACCCTTGGTCTATAGTACATATCTGCCGTCAGTCAGCCGTGATTATGACTTCGAGTAGCAGGCGTTTTTTGTCTCCTCAAGACATTGCTAGAAGTGTAGACGAACCTCTCACTGATTCCGAAAGTAGCGTGTTCGATTCAGATGATGAATCAAGTGTAATCGATGATTTACCTGTTCGTGAATTTCTTACATGTGACGAATCTGAAAATGAATACAATGACGGTGAACAAAGTGGGAGCAGTTTACCGAGTGTGGCACGTCCTACTGCTTTTACATGGGAGAACATGGACAACTATGTAGGGCAAAGAGAACAATTTGTAGGCAATTTTGGGCCTCAAAATGAAGAGAAAAGTGTGACTGAATCTGTGAATGTGTTCAAACTCTTTTTCACTCACGAGCTGATATCTCTAATCGTGCGTGAAACAAATCGCTATGCAGAGCAATGCATAAATTCCAGGAGCCTTCCTATACCATTTCGATCAAGGATGAGAGAATGGAAACCTCTATCTGATGATGAAATGTATGTTGTTTTGGCACTTTTCATGTTGATGGGAATAGTCCAGAAGCCTACACTGAGGTCTTATTTTTCAAAAAATTCCCTTTTGGCAACACCTATCTTTGGCTCTGTTATTTCTATGGACAGATTTGAATCTGTCTGCAAATTTATTCACTTTAGTAACAATGACAGCAAAGACACATACCAGGGCCCTCCAAAGCTTTTCAAAATATATCCTGTTATTTCCTATCTGAACAAAAAATTTCAAAATTTGTACATACCAGGTCAGAATATTTCAATAGATGAGTCACTGACTCTATGGAAAGGAAGACTGTCATTCAAGCAGTATATTCCACTAAAATCGTCAAAATTTGGGATCAAGACGTATGAGCTTTGCGAGTCCAATTCGGGATATTTGTGGTCTTTCATCATTTACACAGGAAAGGACACAGTTTTCACGTCATCATTGATATCAGAGGACATAAACAAAACATCAGCCATTGTGTTATCTCTAGCAGAGCCATTACTGGGTAGGGGACATACATTGTGGATGGACAACTTCTACAATGCACCAGCACTAGCTCGGATACTGAAATCATTGAAGACTGACTGTGTTGGTACTCTCCGAATAAATAGGAAAGATGTTCCTCTAGCTGTCAAAGACAAGAAACTAAAGAAGGGGGAGCTAATAGCTCAACATTCCGGCCCTGTATCTGTCCTAAAGTGGAGCGACAAGAAGAATGTTACCATGATTTCAACATACCATGGTGATGATACACAAAAAGTGAAGACCAAGGGTGGGCAGGAAAGGGAAAAGCCTGCGTCAGTCCTGGACTATAACAAAAACATGATAGGGGTTGATCTGAAAGATCAGCTCCTACAGAATTACCTTTTGGAAAGAAAGAAAATGACCAAGTGGTACATCAAAATGTTTATGAGGTTGCTAAATGCCACAATTCTAAATTCAATGGTAATCTGTAGGGCAAATTCACCGGGAATAAAACTTGACCACTTGAAATACAGAGTGGATCTAGTGCAGGCTCTCCTAGTTGAACATGGTGGTGGGGTAGAAAGGAATGTGCCAGGGAGACACTCCACATACAAGAATGTGCCCCGACTAATTGAAAGACATTTTCCGGAGAGAATTCCTCCAACAGAGAAGAAGTCACGGCCTACAAAGCGTTGTGTGGTGTGCTACAAGCAGGGCAAGAGAAAGGAGACAGTGTTTTGGTGTCCTGATTGTGAGGCTGGTCTCTGTGTTGATGGCTGTTTCAAGATATTCCACACAAAACTCAAATTTTATGGTAAATTTTTTACCTTTCTATAAATCATAGTGTAGTGTGAACATTTTGTTCAAAGTTTCACTAAAATTCATCAATTATTAGGGAAGTTGTGCCCATATAAGTAAAATGATGCACTTTCAGCTCAAAATTAAATCCCCAAGCAGAAACTCCTCCCACAGCACGGTATAGACTTGGGATTTAAATGCTCCCACGCTGAAGGGTTAACCCTTCAGTGTGGGAGCATTTAAATCCGAAGTCTATGCTGTGCTGTGGGAGGATTTTCTGCTTGGGGATTTAATTTTGAGCTTGAAAGTGCATCATTTTACTTATATGGGCACAACTTCCCTAATAATTGATGAATTTAAGTGAAACTTTGAACAAAATGTTCACAACACACTATGCTTTGGTCGTCTACAGTTCTATCAATGTCTTGAGGAGACAAAAAGCATCTGCTACTTCACAGACGTCATTAACAATTCATCGATAAATCAAAATCGGTGTAAGAAATTAAACTGTCAAAGACTGAATTGCCATCCTTCAGTGGGGGCTACAATGAATTTTTGCCATTCAAGGACATATTCACATCTTTAATTCATAATAACAAATCTTTATCAGACATTCAGAAATTTCATTACTTAAAATCAACTCTGAAGGGACAGTCAGAAAGGGTAATTCACTCACTACAAGTAACAACTTTAAATTATCCCATTGCCTGGTAAGTGTTAATTGAGAGGTTTGAAAACAAGAGAGTTAATGCGCAGACTCGTGTCAGAAGTCTTTTTGAGTTAACAAGAGTGGAAACGGAATCTGCTGCTGCCCTTAAGAAACCGCTAGATGACACTTTAAAGCACTCAAGAGCACTCAAGGCACTTGGACAACCTACAGAGCATTGGGATACACTCATTGTGCATTTATTAACATCAAAGTTGGATCAATTTACCTTATGCCATTGGGAAATAACAAGTCAGAAAGATGTGATGCCAACAATAAAGGACATTACAACTTTTCTACAACAGAGGAGTCAAATCCTGGAGGCCGTGGAAGGCAATTATAAACACCAAACAAGGAGTTTCAATGTCAAGGCCACAATGAAATCACCTGTGAAGCAAAATCAGGCAATGTCATGCTTCATCTCACGTCAAAACACATGCAGCATGTGCAATGAAGACCACCAGATAATTAAATGCCTCAAGTTTCTGCAATTGAATCACGAGGAGAGACGTGAGAAGTTAAAGAAATTAAGACTGTTTTTCAACTCTTTAAGGTCAGATCACCTAAGCAAGCAGTGCACATCAGGTCACTGTAAACCCAGAGTCACTATATGGCAGAGTCATTAAGTCGTAGGTTGGGTCTACCTGACAGGAAGACTTCAATACCTGTAATAGGCATCAATGGAACCTCAACATCAGTAAATCGTTGTGTCACGACTAATTTCAAGTCACAATGTACAGACTTTGAGCAATCAGCAGAGTTCTTACTCGTTCCAAGGATCATTGACAGGATGCCTTCCAGTTCAATAAAGTATGCGAGATACAAATACCTTCAGCTATCAAAATGGCTGACCCAAATTGCCACATTCCAAGTAAGGTGGAAGTTCTCCTAAGAGCAGACATATTCTGGGAAATAACTGGTTTGATTGTGCCTCAGCTGACAACTGAAGCGATATTGGGAACAAACTTCTTGAACGAATAAAATGTTGTCGTTGTTTTCCCGTACAGATGTTTCAGGACAAAACGGGGTTCTTTTGAGAGCAGTCACGCTTTCTTCTACAATGTGATCGCAGAGGGAGCATCAGGAGAGAAACAGGCATCAAACTCAGACAGTTTGTCAGGTCACTCATGTGCCATAGATCGGACAGACCAGACCAGAGCAGAGCAGACCAACAAGCTAATGTTTGTAACACTATATTAAATAAACCGGAAAGCCATGACAGTCAAGCAGACCCAGATATTAATGTTGAAATGGACGACATTGTAGGTATTGGTACAGGGGAGGAGTGCCCTGCCCTTGTGAATGAAATTGTTTGTGCATGCAGTATGTTATCAGACTTCCCTACCTTCAATGGCCTCGACTGACTCAGGATAACTTCGGAGAACATGTATTCCTATTCGAAAGTTGTTCTCTTTGAGTCTCTCTATACGCTCCTTGAGTTTGGCCCTAACCTTTTGAATCACCCTGTATATACGTGATTCAAGCTCATGTTTTGTCTTTAGGTAACTCCATTTCTTCTCCCTAAATGTTCTACTGTTTACACATCTTAGATATTGCACACTGTCTCCACTGATTTGCCTTGGGTTTTGCAACCACTGTAATTTAGCCTGCTTCTGTTTCTCTACTATTTTGAGCACTCATCATCAAACTACGGTGTACCCTGCTTTAGTTTGTGATGATCCATCTCCAGCCCTAAGTTCATCTGAGCTTAAAGAATAACTTCTTTGGAGAACAAGCAGTGTACAATGTTAAAGGTTTCAGTAAACACTGGATATGTACATACCTAAGACTCATTTGCAATGCCCTCCCCCTGACCACAGGTCAAGTCCCTAGGTCTTTTGAGGTAGATATACGAAGTTATCACAAAGCAAAAAAATTGTAACACAGCTGTGCTATTTAAGATGACAAAGGACCAGAAAGTAATGGCAAATTGTAGGAAATGCCTGTGACTTAATGGTATTTTCAGCCCTTCAATCCTGCGATTTCCAGTAACAGGATAACAGTAAAATAGGCCATGACTTCTGATTAGAGGTAAATTTAGGGAGATTAGTTGTAAATATTAAGATATGAGACTCGGACAGAAGAAGTTTATACACAGGACAATGAAGCCGGTACATGGGTAAAAGAGGGCACTGCATAAGGGAAGTCTGCACAGATTTGTTGGCCAAACAGAGTAATATGTTAGCTTAGTTCCTATACCGGTACGAACAGAGCTAATACTGTGAAAGCCAAATTGCATTGCCATGGTTTGTAATTTTTGAAATAATTAAATTGAGATGAGATGCAGCACTGACCATAATTCCCACAGTAAGTAATCCTGAAACACTGGAAGAAGTTAAAAGAAACAGTTCAACCTAGAAATCAGAAATACTATAATCATGAGGGGAGTGGGAACTTGGCACACACTTGTGCATAACAATTAGCACAGATCAACAGATAAATGACATAAAGCTATCAGTGCACCTGGCCATATTGGATAGCTCGTTGCCCCTCAGTTATTCTAATCAAGTCCCCAGTGCCAAGTCAAGAAGAAGCTTTAGAATTTTTCAAAACACATTCACCCTGATGATAGCAACACAAGCGTTTGCTAAAACTTTGGAAAACCTTCAACATTCTACACCGCTTATTCCTGTAACCCAAAGTTACACATTGTAAAGTAAAGTTGTACGTTACTCTGATGAAGAATCCATGGACCAGCTGTGAGTTCCTGCAAGCACTTTCAGAAGAGGCCTTGAAGATGATTCTTCTTCACCACTCTGATGTCTTCATCCGTTCAGAAAACTGACCTCTTGTGTTAATTCAGTGGACCTCTGTAGTCTTCTGAACTGATGACATGTCTCCTCTTTCATGAAGCCCCGTCTTCCTGTCAACTTGAGGTGCTGTCATTCCTACCGGATTTTCCACTCCTGCCACTGTGTTGAACGCCACCAGCATCCTCAGGATGATCTTCAGACATTTCAAGGAGTGGACAAAGGCAGTATATGCAGAGGCTGCTAATGACAAATTCAGAATCACATTCTTTGTTAGGGCAACAGACACTATTTATTATTATTTTAACACATAAGAATTTTGTATAAATTAAGCTAGAAGTGTGTGATGCGGTCGTAAATACCTGAAGAACCTATGGCTCTAGTGATGGAAGACAGCACCACATACTTCATTCACAGTTTTATAGATGAGAATACTCAAAACTCGCATTAAGAAATTCAGTGTGGACAAAATATCTGAACGTAAGTCTTTACAGTGGAAAGTAATAGATTTCTCATTATTTTAATAAATAAACTACATTTATGCAAAACTGTACCTTAATTCACAAAACTTGATCTTAATTATGCAACCTGAAACAAGAAATTCTGTGAACACAAACCAATTCTGTGAACACAAACCAATTCTGTAAGTAAAATTTCTAGAGCAAAACCTGAGATGCTGAGAAAACATTGAGTGCCAAAATGACGAAGTAAAATTGATTACCTTTATGGGGGAATTAATGAATTCATGAGTGCAGGTACTCAATTCAGACATCTGTGCCTTTCACGTCATTGTAACATTGTATGGAAGGTTAATATTAAGATCTCATTTCAACTAAATGTGTCTGAATACTACATTGAAGAAACCTCAGTTCAGACAACAGCTATACTCATTCTGATACTTCCTGGATTTCCTCAGTTATTCATTGAAAATATTGGATATTATCTTAAGTGATGCAAAATGTTCTTCCTTGCACTCCATTCACAGTGAATCTTTCATTGATCAGCTTAGTACAGTACGCCATATATTCTGAGTTAGGCTAGAGACCCACTGGCGCGACTAGCCGTGTGCGGTTTATTAACTCGCAACTTTCACAAGGCAAGCATTTATCAGTATCTAAATGGAGGTTGAAGAGATAGCAGCCCTACTGTTCTATCATATCCGTCGTCGGAAAAAGCAAAATCGAAGATACTGGATACACCCCCATGTTCTTGGAACGTTCCACAAAATGTGCATTCCATCTGCTGTACAATGATTTACGCAAACACGACAAGAATTTTTCCTTCATCCTTCATACCGCTGTTCCGCAGTGCTGCTCGTTGTTCAATTTCCATAATGAACAACTCTGTGTCAAAAGATTTCTCGGACATCGCCATATTGAATACACGCAACTCACATACAGCTCCGGCTCCCGCGTGAGACCTGCAGCGTCACTGAGTTCGCTGCGGTTGAAGTTCGTTACTTTTATAGCTGCGCGCGACAGCTCTGCTGCCTGTGTGCCGCGTTCCTAAACTTAACCGTGCAAGACTCGGCAGCCGCGTCAGTGGGTTTCGCATCTAAAAAGCAATACAAATAACAGCCACACGTGACAAAACTCGACACACCGCACGCTTCTAGTCGTGCCAGTAGGTCCCTAGCCTTATTGATAATGTTGAAAATAAGCCATCACACTGAATGGGGCAAACCAAGATATTATGCACACATAACACAAAATAACAATGCTGGGTAAAAACTCAGAGCACTGAGAAATAAATAGCCCACTCTACT